GTGGACTGTAGATACCAGGGGTAGTCGGGCTAAGGAAGTCCGATGCTGGCGTGCCGGCTACTTGAAGAAACGCTCCAACCTTTCCTGGGGTAGGAGTGACTGGTCGAAACGGTGGTGGAGCACTCAGAACTGGTAAGTACGACTCTGCGTACCATTCATACCAGACTTTGGATTTCCCAGTCACCCTCCATATGGAAACCTGGAGCTCTGAGTTACTGGGTAAATAGAGGGGATCCTTTGAATCTCTGATCAGCTTAGAGTCTTTCTATATAAGTATTGGGTACTCACCCGGAAAGGGAAGAAAAGAGGAAACCAGCTTAGCATCCCTGGTGAAATGTGATCCATACCTTCAGGATGTATACTGAGGCCTACATCCCTGTACAGAACGGCTTCAAAGTAGCCTGCAAGACCATGCAGTACGCCGGCATTTGGGATGTGAAAGTTTAATCTTGCTGATCGCGTGTTGTGAGCATTGGTGATCGGCAAACCTAAGCCATGTTAGTTTCAATAGAGAATTTGGCGAGCATCATACCCTGTTCATTGAGAACCGCATCTCTTCTCGGATGACTAAATGTCCAGCATTCTTGGATTCTGCTTCCGCAATTCCCTCGGAGACCTCCACCGTCGCCACTGAGCATATTGACTGCTTGAAGCATGACAACGTAGGGCGTTTCAGGACCTGCCTTGCTCGTATTTAACAAAAGTTCGTTGTGGAGCTTCGGCGAAGATATTGGAGCAAGATAAGCGGTGTATGAGGAGGGTATTGAGATGCCGTCCGCTGGAGCTTATATTAGTAATACTATATTCACATCAATAAACTCACGTTTCAAGAATCGCATGGCACCATCTAGGCACTCTGGACTCGCTTCATTGTCTCCAAAGGATCCCAATAGTTCGCTCACGAGGATGTCAGCTTGTTCTGGGACTTGAATCTTGCGCATGTCGCCGTATAATAATTGCACACGGCTTCCCCATTCTTTTTCTCGGTGCTCTTGAAGCCTGTGCCAGAGTTAGTAGCCAGTTTCGAGCCGGTTGACAGATGACTTCACGTTACAAATGCATTCGGATTCTTTTCAACAGCATAAACAATACCGTCACACTTGCTTCTGTCGAGAGCCTGGAGGCATCGAGTGACAATTCCGCCCCTCCCTGCACCCACCAGACAAATGACCCTAGTGAATGTGAGCTGGACAAATAATGCAGGGGTTTAGCTTACACTCGACCCAAGTTGCCGCGGTCACTTAATGCTTGAAAAATAGCCTTCGCCTGTTATTGAAATACTGGGACCTGATTCATCCCACACACCTCTTCATATCTCTCGTATTTAACCGGATCTCGCTCAAATGTTTCGTATGTACCGCTTCCCAGATTATCCATCAATGGCTAATGGGATTGAGCGACCGAGTTCTGCATAGGGAAATCACTCACTTGCAACGGCGCCTGCAAGTAGTCCCAATATCCTTTGGCATAGTTTTCAAGCGTGCCCGGCTGCTGGGAAGCAATAATTTCGGGGCTCGTTCTTTCCAGATGCCGCACATACTGTGCATATGCGAGATGGTTACCGATTTGATGAACATTTGATCTTGTTCGGGCAAGTAGAATGGTGGGGTTATATTTAAATGTGTTTCGGAGGAAATTTTGCGTTAGTTTGGTGAGGACCGGATAACCCTTTGCGTTTGAAATGAAGGAAGTGGCTGGAAGGAAGATTTGATAGCACGGTTCTGTGCTCCATCTCGATAGCACACCAGACGATACGGGAAGAGGAAGGGAAAGATCAAGGGCTACCAAGGAGTCAGCAGCTCGCTCGAGTGATCGAGACTCATTTACCAAGAGATAAGCGAGGGCTGTATCCACATACAGAACGTATTACGTCCCACATTTCCCACGTAGAGCTGAGATCCCCATCTGGAGCTCGCGCGTGCGCACTGAGTGGTACATTTTCGGGCGGGGTTTGTTGCGAAAGGGTATCTGTGGAGGCAGAGCGGGGATCATAGATTGGTATTCGCACTGAAATATGAAGATATGCAGTAGTGGATTTGAGACATGCATTGACAGCCCTTGCATAATCAGCGACGTGGAGACGATTGCGAGGAGGTGGAAGGACTACAGCGGGCATATTAAGATAGCTCGCGTATGCTAACTCCTGCTTCAAGGCCTGATGATAAAGTTGGTTAGAACGGGTTTTATGATTAGAGCTGGACTTTCTCTCACAATTTCCGAATCATAACGCACACCCTCGTCTGGCGAGTCGAGCTCTAGCCACTCTGACACCATACCGATGGTAGCGACGGCTTCGTCTTCAAATCGTTCAATAAGAAGTGCATTTAAACAGAATGTTTCTGCTATACTAACCTAGCCGCGTGATATTCATCTCTGTCTTGAGAAAGGGACCTTCACTCGCTCTCCAATCCTCTGCCAGCCTTTCGACCTCGGGGCTTTGTTTCCCATCGACGGTCAGACACATCTCCTTCCAACGAGTACGCCATGCTTCGTTGGTGAGAGGGATGCATACACTGTCGTATCCATCCTCGATTGCCTTTCTTGATAGCCGAAGCAAAGGAGTTGAACTCTCGTCAGTTGGTATATCTAGTGAGGATTGTTCGTCAAGATCTTCCTGAGCAAAGACAGCAGATAACGATATTTGAGCCATTGAGGGGGGCGTCAAGGTAATTGAGTTTGCTCCCACCCGATGGTTCATATTTACGATTCCATCAACATAGTTAGTGAAGAGTGTATATATATTCCTATACAAATACCACAGAGAAAACAGCGTGCACTTCAAAGAGAATCGAATTCATGCCTTCGAAGCAAAGAAAGGAAACTGCGGTATGCGAGGAGACAATCCAGCTTGTAGCTGATCTCTTTCCCACTCGTCATCATCCATGTACCTTTCCACTGCAGTTCCTGCTGTACCCGACTGGGGTCTTGCCCGACCAGCTTCTTTGCGCTTCATTCCATATTCATCGTCAATGTCATCAATGTCCGCTAGAGCAACATAAGCCTTCGCTATTCTCCAATCCACCTCCTTGGTCACGAACTGGAATTGTTTCGCCGCTCGCTCCTTCTTCCTTTGCTCCTCGCGTGCTTCGGCCTCAGGAGGCGGGGGTGGTGGCTTCCTATCTGTTGGTGGCAGGAGAATAAATGACCTTGTATGTAAGAGATGTGGGGTAGTGGATAGGGTCGATGGTGGCAAACCATTAAGTCTGCATATCTCCCGACCCTGCAAATGACACATTAAAACTATGAATAAACCTACGGTTGTCAATCGACCTACATCAACCTTGAAGCGGAGAGCGACACCATGCAGTGTGTCTCCCTTCTTAAGCCAATATTTGGCTGGACCGCTTGTTTCGGTAGGCTCCTCGGGTCGTGACACATCTTCAGACGCCTGAGAGGCCGAAATAGCATCGCTAGAATCCATAGGTGTGTTTGTATCTGAAACCTGGGCCGCTTCGTTGTCTTGGTCATCATCGTCCTCGCCAATGACAAACGTATTCTCTTCTCGTTTTCGCTGCTCCGTAAGAGGGCTATTGTACTCGTTCAATTTCGATCTCTTTACAACATCCGCCGCACCGCAGCAGGCAAGACATGGAGAATAGTAACGCAGCCTAGGATTCGAAGCAAGGCAAGGTTCACAAATCTGCTTATTACAGCAGCTCGTTTTGTAGGAGTCTGGTCCAGATTTGGTGATGGTAGAGCAGCAGGAAATGCATAAGGAGGACATGGCTGGTGTCCGGTCGCGGTTCGGCTCAAAAGTGGCGTAAGCGTTACGCCAACTCTTTACACTCCACGGCCGCAGTACAATGAATAAGATCACATCTAACCAAGTTTCCACAATCTCTTTGAATATTCAACGACCCGAGCAAGATATCGTGGAAGATATCAGAGCAGCTTGCTTGACATATGGGTTCTTTCAAGTTACTGACTATACACATATCATACCCAAAGAGCTTCCAATAAGGGCATTAGAAGCATCACGTCAGTTCTTCCAACTTCCCCTGGCCACGAAGCAAAGTCTACGCAAACTCGACCATATTTCTGGAGGATATGAGCCTTATAAAGTCTTGAATCTGGAACCCTCGAATAAATACGGGTTCGGACATAACGAAGGGTTCTCATTCGCTGCCATAAATCATCCGACGGCCTGGCCAGACGAGTCGTTGACCCATGGTTTCCAGGTGACGATGAGAGATTACTACGATGCAGTCTCTTCTTTGGCTGCACAACTAGGTCGCTATATCGCCATTGGTCTTGGACTTTCTCGGGATTATTTCGACGACTTCTTTACGGATCAGCTCGCCCATGTGAAGCTAGCTCACTATTATCGTCCGCAAGAATCAGACTCTATCGGCTCGAATGTTGGCGTTGCGGCTCACACTGACTGGGGTGCCATTACTATACTGCTCCAAGATGAAATTGGTGGCCTAGAAGTCTTGGATCAGGCTTCACAGTGGGTTGAGGTGCGCGCCAAACTAAGTAACGCCACCCCCTCGATTTGATTGATTTACCAGGTTCCGCCAACTCCCAACGCGTTTGTCGTCAATCTCGGTGACCTACTTCAACGATGGACCAACGACCTATACAAGTCGACAAAGCATCGTGTGATATCACCCCCAGCGGGACTGCACCGGTATTCTATCCCCTTCTTCTCACAAGGGCGACCAGACTACATCGTCAAGACGATTGAATCCTGCATACCACCAGGAAAGGAGGCAAAGTATCCCCCTATCAAAGCAGAGGCGTACCTGAAATTGAAGTTTGAAAGTACATATTCTATGGTTGCGTGAAATTGAGCCTTGTGTCAATCCTGACCAATGGTTTCATGACTTTCACTCACGTTGTTACAAGATTCGATGTATTACGTACTGCTGCATACAATGATTCTCCCTAACCAGCTATAAATTCTGCCTATCGGTACTGGTACAAAACGGATCGAACAGAACGGGTTCCCAACCGCTTGAAGCGCTTAGGGCGGGTCTCCCAAGTTTTAGCAAAAAGTCTTCCGACACGGGGAGTCGAACCCCGGCCTTGTCGGTGAGAACGACAAATCATGACCGCTAGACTATATCGGAAGGTTGTTCGTGCAACTTGGGATAAAGTTTAAATATAAAGGTATAATTTATCCGCAGGCGAGAGGAACATTAACCACAACCATTGTTACAGTGTCAACAGCAGATGACTAGAACGGAAGGTGGATGCAGAACAAATAGAATACAGTTATTGACCATAAAGATCATTATCCCTTTGCAGGCTATGGCATCTGAGTCTTTCAGATAGGCGAGAAGTTACTAGATGATATGCTAGAAATAATACGTTCTAATGATAAGTTACAACACATCATTCTACAGGCTGCCTAACAGGCGTCTGTGCGCCACTACGTGACAACAGAGACCCATTCGATCGGTAAAGGTTGAGAGAGGAGGACGAATGCTGCCTTTGAGATAAGCTCGAGAGGCTGTTATACAATGCATTTGCACCCACAGGAGACGCCTGCCCGTTTTGGAACCCTCCCCGCGGAGAAGAACTGCGGGAAGAATCGCCTTGTCTCGATGGGGCGCGACCACGGAACGCATCGGAAGCGTAGCCATCATTGAAGACGGGTTTGTGCTGCATACGGGAGGATCCGAGTTTGGCTAGGAGGGATTGAAATGTGGATGATATCGCGCCTACAGGCGAGGTTGGAGATGAGTAGTAATTGATAGGGCCATCGTCTTGCATTTCCATCACATCTTCACGGTCTGTACGAAGGTTCGCTCGCCGCTTAAACCGCCAAAGCAGGATGCGTAATCGTTTTTTAGATCGAAGGAGGAAAAAGACGACGAGTCCGAAGACGAGGGCGTAGAAGAGAAGAAAGACGACGGGAAATCCGTATATCCTGCCGCTAATGGCATGGGGCAAATGGTGAGATATTCCAAACGATCCCAGGGACCCAGAAGGGTCCGATTCTACCGAATCCGGTTGCAAAGGGTCCAATAAAGGGATATGAGACCCAGCGGCGGATTCAATCTCTTTACTGGCTTCGAGTACCATTTTCCCTAGCGTCCAAGTGATTGCAGTGTCGCCGACCGTATCCGCACTTTGAAAGGTGGGCTTCCCGAGCCCCTTTCCCTTTGCACTCTCATCAATGTGATCAGCACCGCTATGGTTGGTGGAGTTACCTCCAGGATCAACAATGCGAGGCATGCCTAATCCTTCATGCAAGACATTGACGATCCACGCCGCCTTAAAGCATTGAAGCTCCAGACGTGAAAGTTCAACATCTGGGCCCCAATAACCCAGACCTATGATTTTCCCGTCGTGCTCCAATTCTCCATCACCGTCCAAATGCCCGGCTTCCTTTAGCTGGTCATGGTGAGCGACGATGGATTTCCAATGTTGCGTACAAAAGTTGCTAGCCGCCCTTTCATATTGAACGAAATCATAGGCACCGCCCAAGCCAAAGATTTGCTCGGAGGAATACCAATATTCCGAAACACCAATGAAGTGAGAGACGGAAAAGTCAATGGTGGGGACTCGTTTGCCTCCAAAAAGACAAGGGATATCCACGCAAGGCGAGTCTTTGTTTAAAAGTGGTGCTGATACTTCCAAGCACTTTGTGAAATTACCGCTTCCGACGAGCGTATGGGTCTTTCGTGAATGGTCGCTAACCGAGCCGATATAGACTGGGGTCTCTGTGCGCTTTAAATCTTGTGGAAGACATGGATCCGGTACGACGTCAGATGCATGGTTCCTGGTCTTCTCAAACAGCTCGATGAGCCGCCCGACGTATCGCTGGCGAGCTTGATTCGTTCCGTATCCAAGCCATGTAGTGGTAAACACATTATGCGTGATGTCGTGGCCATTCAAGAGACGTAAATGGACTGGTATCAAATTTGGAAAGTCATTCTTGGGCTCAAATGCAATCTGTGTTGATGCGCCGCCCATGTCCAAGAACCCGTATGTTTGACGCTCTGTCCCACCAGAGGAGAAGCCTTCCATGAGGTAGTTTACGGCTATCCAACCAAAGAGGCCCTCTTCTTCGCCCGAAATTACTCGTACGCTTCCTCCACAGGGCCCTAATGGGCCACCATCTTCGATTTTGAAATTCGTATAGTCCCGAAAGTATTGACATACTTTACGCAAGACGCTTTCTTGTTGCGTTTCTGGCAGTAATCGCATACCCGCCGTGGCGAGCAAGAACAAGGGCGTCTCTGCGTGCAAGTGCGGTGGAATTTCCTCTTTTGCGTGTTCTACCAGAGGTCGGAGGTACTCAAAGATGCCCTCGGGGTCCCCGCCAAATTTCGAGAGCCCTTAAAGCCAGCTGTCAACAACCTCGTACGCGCTCACAGGCCTAAATAACACACCTGGTTCTATCTTGAGCAATGAGTCAGCAGGATCCTTTGTTCCCTTTCCAACCAACGGCAACGATTCGAGCTCTTCATCGAACAGGTCTTCTTGAACGACACGAGCGTCGCGCCAACTGTACAGCTGTACTCTCGAACCCGAAGAGCCAGCGTCAATAACGACACCAAAACGGCGACTGGCTAGCCAAGGATCGACAAGAGTTGGAGGCGGCATTCCGGCCTGGTCCAAGAAAGGTGGCATCTGTTTGTCGAATCTTGGTCCCAACCTCTGAACATTAACGATTACCTTGGATGCACAGGAGTGTCTCAAGATCTCATTAGCATCTCAAATTGGTGTTATAAGTCAACTAAAACCCGTCATCGTTGGGTTCACACGACAGTTTACGATAATGGAGTTGGCCACAACCAACGGTCCCAGCCAGTTCAAAAGTCTATTCGATGGAGACTTGTCTTCTGCTGATTCGGAGAATGAAACACCAAATAATGCTGTATTGAAGGTCACCCGAAGTCCCTCGAAGAAGAAGAAGAAAGCACAGAAGAAGCAGGTGAAGACAGGTGGCCGTCCTCAGAGACCAAAACGACAAGAGGCAATCAAATCATATGCTGAAAGTGACACGGATGAAGATTCAGTACCTCCCAATGTGCCCATCCAAACCACCAAGCGCAAACGAACTGGTTCACTCACGACATCCCCGAATAAGAAGGTGAAGCTCGACGTTTTTCAGTCATCCCGTGGAAGGAGCTTTAGTTCAAGCCAACTCCCATCGCCGCAAAAAGCCAAGGGTCTTGCAGCTTCACTTTCTACATCGTTACCTGAGGCTGTCATGCCTTCGCCTTTCCCTTTGGCGACCGCACGGAAAAGAGCATTCATTCGGCTGGGAATCGATGGGAAGCCCGCTGAGTCCAGTTCCATAGATGGATATTGGTGGCCAGCAAAAAAGGTACGCGATCTAAAGTATCTAGCTACCTCATCCTAATTACCTCAGAGTGCTGCAATTGATGATGGCACAGTCACCTATCAGTTGTACGGTGACGATGGTCACGGCAGTGGACGGAACGTGGAACTTACTAATCCTCAATCTACAAATTTACAATCCATCTATTTTCCAAGGCCACCTCTGCCTCGATACTCTCAAACGTCTTTCCAGCAAGGCTCCATTATTGAGGCCGGGAGATTCATGGCCGCGTTTACCGAACTTAATCAGGATGATGAGGACGAGGACGAAGACGAAGATATTTTAGGACAATACGAAAACGCAGCTTCTGATTCTGAACACGGTACATCATCCCAAGTTTCAGTGCCGGATTGGCGACCTCCGTCGCCGTCCGAGTTCGAGTACTTGATTGACGAGCCCGTTCTCTGCAAGTCCAAAAGTGGATCAACGGTTTATTGGCCTGCTCGGATTATAGGATATATTCCCCCAACAAAGCCGTCACAAAAACCTCGTTTTGAAGTTGGATTTTTTGATTGGAAAACAGGAGAAGTTACGAGGGACATGTTTCTCATACAGTATGATGAGGATCGGGAAAAGTTTGCCAAATGCGAGGTTTGTAGTGGTTATTTTTAATACACACTGCTAAAGTGGCACACAGTTGGACAGACGAAAGCTCCAGGAATGGATGGACAAAAACTGCGTGTCTCCTACAGACGATGACGAAGTTGCAGCAGTTGATATCACTACATTGCCGGAACCTGACTTTCCCATACCAAAACCATCCGTTTTTATACAGCAAATGACAATTGCTGAACAGTTCGTATACGTGATTCCCTTCATGCGACGGATTCTGGAGGAAAACTATCCTCCATCCCAAGAGCGCGTCGACTTATGGATGAAAGGAGGCGCTACACGTGCCAGTGTCACCAATGACCCCATCCAAGGAGGCAATCTTGCCGAAGTAGAATGGCAACTATTCGGGCGACTCGTACATACTTGGGCCCTCCCAGGTTTCGACCACTCGAAGAAGACCGAAGTCACTGAACAAGATGAGTCGAATAAGCCTGAGGTAAGCTGTTAGATCGGATGTCATGCTTCTATACCGATACCTTATAGGAGCAACGCGACCGGCCCAGAGGAAGCGAGCGGTACGAGAACTTACCTCCAAGTCAAAAGCTTCAGGTATGTCTCATCGCATGTCTGGCTTTTGTTTTTCATCTAACGTGAAACCAGTTCATAGTCGATGTATTGATTGGCGAGGCAGTTATTCAACTGCTCATAATTCGAGCCGGGAAACGATCCAATCTGGATTTTCTTGGTGATGTGGAGGAAGCTGAACTGTACCAATCGGGGCTAAAGATGAGCAAGCAACAGAGCACTTCGATCACAGTAATAACCATCTTGGAGGAGAGAAGAAACCTTAGAAGTCGATTGGGACTCCCGCCCGAACCACTCATTGCTGCTGGAGCCAAACCCCAGGCAGAGGCCGAAATTGGGGGTAGACGCAGCAAGGCTCGCATCCATAGCCAGTAAAGCACCATCGCCAGACTTAGATACATGTTCAACATGGATACGGTAATGCTGCTTGTAGTCGCGTGCAAATTAAAGGACGAATTGAACCGGTAATACATATCCGAAAAGTTTATGGAATAAAAATACGAGAAAACCCTTCAACTCTAAAGGGCGTGTGAGATAGTACAGAGACATAGATGATGCAGTGCTTACGGTTGTCGACAACACGGGCAAGAATGTTTAGAGGGTCCATTGCGTGAGGCCAGGTTGCTTCTACAGTCC